GATATCGAGCTCCTTTTGGAGGGTCCTCCCAGCGAGGGGGATCCCTGAGGACCGCTAATGGGGTCCTGACCTTGGTGAGCTGCCAGCGGATGCCAATCCAAAAGACGCAAAAATATTTAAAATCAATCTCACCAGGCTGAAGAGAAATCTGCGACCGAGGCGTTTATTTAGCGATTCAGCTGAAAAGGATGCGTTACAGGGATGAATCCTCCATAAGCATGCATTACAGTGATTTTCAGTCATATTTATACAGGCAAAACAAAGGAAACCCAGTTTGAATCTCCCGCCCGCCTCCTGTCAGTTTTCTCTGTCCGGATTGGCTGGTTCCGTAGCAGCTGGGAGGAGGCTTGGCCGCTGGTCCCGCCTTCCCTCCAATCGCCGGCCGCTGCCGCCTCTAGGGGGCCAATCAGAGCCCTCGGAGCGCTTCTGGAGATTGTCCAATCAGCGGCCGGGAGGCGGGATGTAGTTTGACAGCGCAGAGGGGCGGAATGCCTGGGAGGCGCCCGCCAGCTGATTGATGACCTTTTGTTCTTACACGGCAGGGAGGCAGACGGAGGAAACAAGGGATTTCCTTAGTTTCGATAACAGATGTGTATAGGCATAAAGGGAGGGCTATGGGTGGCATTTGGATCTCAACCTTGTGGACAAAAGGGGTCCCTTGTCACAAAGGAGCGTACACAAATACCATGATTGATTTAATCAGTCCGTTTTCCGGGTCTTTTCGGCTGACAAATCTTTGGCTCTGTTTGTCTGACTCTGAAAACAAAGCCTTAGATATTGCCAGCCCTGATCCATGCAATGTCAATATGAATGGAGTTTCTTCTAAGGAAATTGGATTCCTTAACTGTAATCCCCAGGCCACATACTTTAGTAGGGTAAAGTTCAAGAGGGGAAAAGGCAAGGAAGGAGGGTGAGGGTACATCTCATTTCATTTCACTTCATCATATATCATATGCTTCATATATACATTTTCTTCATAGGCTTTCATAACTCATAGATTTCATAGGAAAGATCCCCATCCCATCCCAGTAAAGTTTATTAGAAAACCACAGCAATTGGTAAGGGCAATCAGCAGAGTTCTTGAGAT